GCAACAGCCTCTCCACCTCCATAGGACTAGGTGAACGAGAGCGGGAGAGGGACCGCGAACGCGGGCCCCTTGGAGCCGCTATAATTGGCACCACCGCTGCCACAGTTACCACTGCCTGTCTGCATGAGCGAAGCGCTAACAAAATCTGAACTCAAATGGTATTTAGTTGAATTCAAGCACATTTAGTCCATAGTCATAGTTTATAGAAGAAATTTTATTTGTAAAGACTGAAGTACCTCAGAAGAAGTCAATAAACGTCTAGAAAAGATTTGTTTTTGAAATCAAAGATATCTAATCCTGCCAACTTGGGCATCACTCTGAAATTGGGTAAAGAATATACAAAGTAAGGCCATTCAATGTTCAAGTAGTCTTTTATCGTAATAAAGTGGATATTCGAGTCAAGTTTCTAAAATACACTTGACAATGATATCAAAATTTTTAATGCCGATCGATGGGCTTTATGCGATTCGAAAAATTCAGATAAATAATATCTGCATCCGAGCTATGCAATGTTCGCGATGATTTTTTCGGATTCGAATATTTTGAAGTCATGGTGAATTGAATAAATAGACTTTAGACTCAATATACAGTGACTTAGGCAAAAAGACAGATGGAATATTTTTCTTCAAAGCCACAGAATCGTAAGTCCCCGCCATAAATATGTTTCGTCTTATGAAATAAAATGAAATGCTTATGAAATTTTATTAAACATCTCATGGTCAATGTTATCATCATCAAATATTAAACTTTATATATGTAATTATATATATATATATATGTTTTTTATTATTATTTTATCTGCCTAAGGAAATCCTTGTTAATTCCTGTCGTTAATTCTAGTAAATTTTTATCCTTTTCTTGATTTACATTATAATTACAATATGACAAACAGGCGGCGGAATAGTTAAGATGACGTGAGGATATGAACTACATATAGCTGGTAACTACACATAACTACATATACGGTCTAGACTATAAGAAACGCAGTTTTTGTTTGCTCTTTTATTTTTGTTTTTGTTTTCAATAACGTGTTTGTGGATATAAGTATTAATAGTAATCGGTATCGCTATCGCTATCGCTATCGCCATCGTTATCGGTATTGTTTTGCGCTGCTATGGTAGGTAACTCTTAAGTTTAGTTTAAATTTAGATTAAGTTAATTAATACACCAGTTTTTAAGTTTTTTTTTTGTATTTTTGCACTACTTATGAACATAACTATAGAAACAGAATGCTAATAGTCAGAGGGATAAGGGTAGTACATAGCAGAATATATCCAGTGTGTTTGTGTGATTTAATTACGAAAATTGTGAACTGCCGTATCAAAGAAAGGACCGCTTTATCTCATACTCTTCAATACTCATCATTATAGTTATTATAATTATTATATAATTCCATTCCTTGTTTTATTTTATTGTTATGATTTGCATGTTTATTATTTTTGCCGTGTTTTTTGTTTTAATTTATTATATTTAAATTTTGTTTAATTGTATAATAAAATAATGATTCACAATCAGAGTTATTCAGCAGCAACCAGATCTGGTGTTCTCCACTGGACGTCCCTGATCGATTTTCACTTTGCTTGCATTGTCGGTTGCGCTGGACGGCGGACCGACACGATTCTTAATCTCGGCAGCCATCGTCATGAATGCCTGCTCTACATTGGTGGCGCTCTTGGCCGAAGTTTCAAGGAATGGAATGCCTAACTGATGTGCATACTCCTGCAAATGTAACGAATTATAGAATAATCAATTGCTTTCACAAAGTTTCAGTAGGGAATATTCAGTCTTACCGCAGCTGTTGTATGATCAACAACTTTCTTAGTGGTTAAATCACTTTTGTTGCCCACCAGCAACTTGTTAACATTTTCGCATGCATATCGCTCGATTTCTTCCAGCCATTGCTTTACATTATTGAAAGATTCCTGGTCCGTGCAATCGTAAACAACAATAATGCCGTGTGCGCCACGATAGTATGACGATGTGATAGTACGGAAGCGCTCCTGCCCAGCAGTGTCCCACTACAAAGTATATGATTTAATTTTGATTTACTCTCTGCATTGGCTGGCGCACTTACAATTTGCAATTTAATCGTTTTGCCATCCAATTCTATGGTTCTAATTTTCTGTAAGAAATAACGGGTTGAGTATCATATATTTTTTGGTGATTACGAATGTGGTAAGACTTACAAAGTCCACGCCAATCGTACTGATATAGCTCTCTGTATATGTGTCATCGGCGAATCGAAGCAGCAAACAGGACTTTCCAACGCCGGAATCGCCGATCAACAGCAGTTTGAAAAGATAATCGCTGTAAAAGCAAAAATGTGCGTTTTACTCAAGGTATATATTTCAACATCATATCGTTTAGCGCAATAGCTCTATTATAATTGCTTATCTTATCGCGTAAAACCTGCCAATTATCATTGTTTGACAATATGTTACTCTCACGCTTCACTACGAATGCAGCTGCACCTACAGTGAAAGTTCTGTAGAGCGAAAGTGAGTTTTGTGGTCTTGTTTTTATTTGTGACATTGCTATGGGACAAATACAACTTATTTAATTGTTATACATTTTATAGATAAATAAACAAAATAGAAAATAAAAAAGCATTTTATCATAGTCTTACTAGAATTATATTAAGACACAAATCGATTTCCATTCAATTGTATGTAGAGTTCCTAAAATTTTAAAACTCGTTTGTCAAGTTTAAAATAAGATTTACGCTAATATAAAAAGAGAAACCCATTGGGCTGTGGTACAAATTCTCTTTTGAAGTTGTAAGGACAAAGTTTGAATTATGAATAATAAAACAAATAAAGGAATATTTCTCAATTACGTGTGAACAAATCAGAGAATTTCAAGTTCAATTACAATGAACGAAAACATAAAACACTCAACATAGATGGGAAATTGATTACGTAGCAGCAGCAACAACAGCAGCTACAGAAAAAAAAACAACACAGCAACGGCGCAGCGTAAAGCAGTCAAACAACAACAATGTGTACACAAGGAGGGGGTTGGAGACGCTGGGCAGGTGACTCATCCGCCCCACAAATCAGCAGCGCAGCCAAAGCTGACATAGAGGCAACGACAGCAGTAGCGGGAGACAGAGACAAAGGCAAGGGCTTGCGGGTTGGCTGGCTAGCTAGCTGGCTGTCAGCAACATTCGCAGCCACTCGAAACAACAACTAAAAACGCAATCAGAAAGCTTGATTTTCGTCACTTGTGTCACAATTATTTGAAACACTACTGTCTACAAATATGTATGCTATATTTGTTTGTATTACATATATAGTTTCTATCCCAATTCAAAATCGTATGTTGTTTTTAGACAATGCCATTAATATTCAGTCAAATTAATCGTTTAGAGGGTGTGGGGCCGCGGCAACTACCAAAGAGTCGTCGTGGACGTCGCAAAAATGACGTCGCAGAAACGACAAAAGAATAAAAAAAAAAAGGTGACCAGTGCTGCTTATGGAACGCGGATGAGTACAAGGTTTTTCATTGTACATATCAATACATCTCAATTACGCGCAATTAACTTACTATTCTGGATTCATTGATGACATAGTTTTTAGTTTCGGGTAGTTTTCCTGTTAAAGATTTACTATTTCTTGCCACGAACGAAATATTCGATTTCGTTTGAGCTGCTCGGTTAAAACTGGCGAGTCTGATGGATGTATCTTATTTCGATTGGCGGCCTTTGTTGTGATATAACACGCACTGTGCACTGTGTACTCCAAAATTGTTTATTTTTCTAACTTCTATTTGTATTTATTGCAACGAATTTAAAGGAAATTCGATAATTTCCAACAAATTCGACAGCCGAGAACGAGAACAATGGCGACTGAAAAAATGACGAAGTGGCATTAGTGTGGCAGAGTGTCGTCAGTTGTACCAGTAAAGTGTTGAGTAACGTAATAACCAGGGCTGCATCAGCCAGTGCTATCAGAAATCTCCTTTGTGGGCGGTAACCACCAACAAATATACATACTCACAGAAATATCTGTACGTTCGTTTGTATGTGTTTATGTATATTAATGTATGTATATGTACTCCACTATCAGTAATGCTGATTGGAATATTCTTTAATACTTGCATCTGCATATAATCTCTTATAAATCATTGGACTCTAAACATAAATTTTTTAACATTTGAGAGTTGTTTTGCTTGCATATATAGAACACATGTAGATATATAGTATTACAATATTATAATATATTATGTGAAGATTCGATAAGCGGGCAATGGGGAATGCATCATTTTAGTGCGTGGAAATCTGTCTATTCCAATGAGTTTAATGTTAGCAGCTGTTTGAGCACTTTTGTCTGTGAGGTCTCGCGTATCTCGCCAGCCAAAAACATCTCATCAACGACACTATACACCTTGTAAAAATTAAATACAAGATCCAACTCGCACACATTATGGAAATACTCGTTCAGCACCTCTACAAAGTTATGTATGGCCTCCAGATAGCAGAGATTATTGTCGTTGACGTCCACGCAAATGCAAAAGTAGAGACCCGCATAGCGTCTATACACAATTTTGAAATTACGAAACTGCAAAAGATGCACAGTACGTTAGTCAGTAGAATTGTAGGTGTATCAATTAAAAATATATTGCTATTACCTCTACAAAGTTAGTGTGCTTAGCATCTCGAACTGTGACCACAGCGTGCACCTCTTCGATCAATTTTTGTTTTTCGTCGTCATCAAAGTTCATATACCACTTGGCCAGGCGAGTTTTGCCTGCACGATTTTGTATGAGTATAAATCGGATCTGCGCACATATTAGACGACTGAATATTCATACTCAGATTGATTATAAATATTAAGCTTACCATTTTGGAGTATGTGTATAGGTAATTACTTAAGTAACTACACTGCTATTTACAATTTTCAGCTATGGACGCAGCGAATATATGATTATGAGTAAATGTGTATCACTGTTGCCAGGGCTGCAGCAGCTGCCGAACAGCTGTTGAACGTGACCAGTGCTGTCTAACATAAGCATATACACGTCAGTTGGCAACACCAATGATTTAATACCATTACGACGTTTTCACTTTTTATACATATTTGTTTAGGGCCGAACTTGAAGCTAGTCATTAACACCTCAATTACCAAATAATGTTGACGTCGCGCTTTAACCTTTGGTCACGTACTCAGTTGCTGCGTAAATGCAGCACCATATCATTGAGTCAACAGAAGCATGCGAATATCGAAATACATGATCCTCTCCAGGCGCACGCCTTAAAGGAGCAATGTATCCTAGTGGACGAGCAAGACAAACCCATCGGTGCTGCTACCAAGGCCGACTGCCATCGTGTGCACCCTGGAACAGGCGATGTTAAGCTGCACCGCGCTTTCAGTGTGTTTCTATTTAACTCCAAAGGCGAGATGCTCGTACAAAGGCGCTCCGTGCACAAGGTAAGGATTTCGAAATCTAGATTAAATCTCATTAATATTAATGACCTGCCCATTTCAGATTACATTCCCAGACACATATACAAATGCTTGTTGTAGCCATCCATTATATGACATTGAGCAAGAGAGACAAGAATCGAATGCTCTGGGCATACGTTTGGCGGCACAACGACGCTTGAACTACGAGTTGGGCATACCCACGAATCAGATTGAACCAGATAATTTTAACTACTTAACGCGCATTCACTATGCAAACACGGGGGACGGCGTCTGGGGCGAGCATGAGATTGATTATATACTTTTCCTTCAAAAGGATGTAACTTTGAAGCCCAATGCCAACGAGGTTAGTGAGGTGCGCTACCTAAAACGAGAAGAGATCGACGAGGCGATAGCCAAGTTCAGTGCCCCATTGACACCTTGGTTCGCCTTGATACTGCGTCATCGGCTTAAACAATGGTGGGATAATTTGCATAGACTGAAGCAGTTTGAAGACTTGAAAAACATTCAACGCTTTTAAAAGCAAAAATATTGCTACAATCAAACCAAAAATATATTTGTTGGAACCTCAGTTTTGTTATACCCTACTGAATGAGGATATTATAGCTATAGCATGAAATGTGTGGCGCATGAGAGATACCTCCACAGGCATAGTCAAATTATATCTATACATCTATCTGTTTCTTTGCAAACAGCTGAAATCATAAACATAAGTCGAACCGATCGAATTGTATTAATTATTAACATTGGAAAGCCTGGTATTTCAAAATATGTGAAATATAAATTCTCATCAAAATCGAATTGCTACATTAAATAGCTGCCGTAGAAAATAGAAAGTATGTTTTTATATAACATAGAAAGGCAAGTTTTTTATATATATAATATATATATACGTACTGAAATATATTGCATGAAAGGGTATTCTATTGTCAACATACACAAAAAACTGCTGTTTTGTAATTCATTTAAATTCGCTTTGTTTTTATTCAAATGGAAAATAGTGTGTGTGTGTGAGTGAGCGAAGAAGGAGCATAAAGTGATTTTCATGCACCTCTATTAGTTGATCAGTTCAGAGTACAACGTATATAGAGCATCACATATATGTTTGTTGATAAATGTATGTAAGTTTAACAAAATATAGTTTGTTTATATATATATATATATATTGTGTAGGTATACTCATAGCACTAACTAAATGTGAATATTATATAAATATTTAGCTCATAAAATGATCACATCACGTTTACCATAATAATCATCATCATCATCTTCACAACGAACAACAAAATAAATATTTACAAAAGTATTATAAAACTAAATGAAACACCTACAAGGTTGGTATACAAAACAGGAACCCTAAATAAATAATATATCTTAAGAATATAGACAAAATATTGTATGAAAAAACACAATGAAAATAACTAAGAGCTGCAGCATTTTAACAGTCACGAAGCGCACGCTTCGTATGGTGTGAAACAGAGGAGAACAGGTGCAAATTGAGTTTGCGTATCAGACAATACCTCTGCTTCACTTGGCACCACCTTGGCACCGAATTCGGTTGTAAACAAAGTCATTGCTTACCAAACAACTTAAAGTTACAAAATTTTCACGTAAACAAAAATTCGCAGCTATAATATAAAATATAAAGGAGGGAGAGTTATGAAGTATTTCTTGCAAGTCGCATGCGAATGCGTCGTAGTTATGTGAGTTTGAGTGTGGAGTTCGCTTGCGTATGTATGTGTTCTCAGGGTTTAGCACATCCTGAATTCGTTTAGAGTTTAAGGCACATGGTGTGAGTCTTTCGTGTGAATCTCAGGCTCGATAAATTATGTATATATTAAGCTTGCACCATTCTTAGGACAAGCCAAAGAGCTTTAAGGCATTAAAGGCAGTGGCCAAGGCGACCTCGTCCGGTGTTTTCTTCATAAAAGCAGCTATCATTTCCACAATTGCTGGCAAGCTGCAGGGCTCGTTGCGTTGAAAGGTGCAATATCTAAAATGTATACATAAATATAAGTTTAATTTAATTTCTTTTTAAAAAGAGTCCCACCTGTGTAAATACAACAACGAGCGTTCTGTAATGCCACTCTTTACATGCTGAGGTAGCTTTGACGCTCGAGTATTGGGATACATAAATGGAGCATCGGTTTCCACCAGCAGCCTGTCCAATGGCAACGTTCCATTATCGAGCAAGCGACGGACACCTGTATCAGATTTATCCTTGCACAAGTACCCAGTTAAGCTGATATAGAATCTGCGATCTAGATACTTGAGTGCCTCCTCAGCGGTGCCCATGAAGCCTCTGATGATAACTGGCGGTAGATTCTCGAATCTGCAATGAGCAACAATGAGTATCAACACATATTATAATATATATATTATTATAATAGATATTTGATCATCATACTTGTCGAGTATTTCGAGTACATCATGCTGAGCCGATCGCTCGTGTATCAGCAGAGGTTTCTTTAGATGAATTGCCAAGTGCAGTTGCTTGGCAAATATCTGTTTTTGCACATCTGGCTCGGAGAAATCGCGCTGATAGTCCAAGCCACATGGACCAATCGCCACGCACTCCTGCGCCTGTGCAATATGCTCAAAGTCGAACCATGTGGACGGCTCCTCCACAATCGACTTTGAGTCGTGCGGATGTATGCCAGCAGTCGAATAGATAATGTCGGGGTAAATACGCGATAGACGCAACGCTTCCTTACTCGATTTGACCGAAGTGCCGTGTACCATTAGCTTCTGAACACCTGCAATATATAATGTAAATATTATACATATGTACATATATGGTTATGCATGAATGATCCATATTTACACATATTTATAGTTATACATAAAACATATAGTTAAATAATTCTGCATCACGTATATAAAATCTAATAATGCAAATGAATTATAAAATATGCAGATATGAAATCAAAAGATAAGTATGCCTGCACCTTCGGTTATTATTTGATTTAAACAGCGGTTAGTAGGCGGAGCTTTCACTGTACTGGGTGCACTCGCATACGAACATTCTCAAATACATAGGCATTCACGCAAACGTATACATGCACGCACACGCAATAATCATTCACACATGTTGCACGCTTATCGCCTGTCATCCGATTGACCTTCTTCAATGCGTATGTGTGCGCTCTCGATGACCATTTGCCGCACCCAATCATGTCTTATTATTTAAGTTGTCACAATTTTAATAAACAAACCTGCGTCTCTGGCTCTTTGAACAACAGAATCCAGATCACGGCTATACTTCTTGTTGGTCAAATTTGCGCCTACATCGATGACAATAAGGTTCTCAAAGCAATGCTTCATGCTGTCCTCGATGTCTAGTTGCTCTTCTGCCACTGGCGCTACTTGTTGTTGTTGGCGTTCCATAATATATGTATGTATGTAGATAGTAGTGTTCGCACGAAAATAGCAATGACGTAGACAGACAGACGGACAGACAATCAGAGAAGATGTTTTGCCTTTGTGTAATTTAATTAGCTTTCGTTAGCACAGGGCAACCAATGCGGGTATGAGTACCCCAGCGAAAAATTCTCTCTTTTATTGCAATATATAATAAACAGTGACCAATTAAACAATTAACTAATGAAACTTTGCAAATTAATACAAAATAAAAACAATTCCCGACACGAACTACGACTGCTGGCAGATGATATCGATGATAGTAATGCAATCGACTACGAATTTTTAACGATTGCTTTAGATGTGTGCACATATCGATATATCTGTATAGATATTTAAAAATTTTATATAAACATTCGGTATTTTTTTAACGTTTTGGTACAAAGAAACTTTTCAAATAATTAAAAGCATCGGAATAACATATATAAATATCGGCTTAGAATTGTTCTCCCATGGGCTTGATAATTAGCTCATGGATCTGCACATTGGGTGGCGTCTGAATACAGTAGCTGACAGCATCGGCCACATTCTCGGGAAGTAACATGGGCATTTTGGCCACCACCTCGGGAGAGTTTGAGTCAAAGATTTCAGTATCGACAACACCAGGACTTATGCTCTGCAGGAAAAAATTTAGGTCACATTGTATTTCCAAATAATCAGTACAGTACTCACCGTAATCTTAGTCATGGTGCCTTTGTTTTGAAATTCCTGGCGAAGCACTTCGGTGAGTGCAGTGATAGCATGTTTAGATGGTGCATACATGTTTAAGCTAAAGCCTGGAGCTTTCGGTACTTCATGACCAGCTATACTATTGATGATAATCACGTGCCCATCGTTTATTTTGCGACGGATCATGGAGTTGAAGGCCTGTCGTGTGCACCAACTAACGCCCAATACATTTGTATTTAATGTATCTCGCAGATCTTCCCCATTGCCCTCGTCTGTGATGCATACACGACGTATAATGCCTGCGTTATTCACCAACACATCCGCACCTCCCAGGACTTCGTCTATCCAGGCAAAGGAGTCGATTACCTGTTGCTCCACCCTCACGTCACACTGGTGGCCATAAAAACGAGCTGACTGCTCAGTGGGTAGGTCTGCCTTCAGCTGTTGAAGTTTATCTAAACGACGTGCCAAGCCCACAACAACCATGCCCTTTGCCACGAGATCCTTGGAACATGCAGCACCAATACCCGAACTGGCGCCGGTAACAACAGCGACACGATTTATCCAGCGGTTCATTTTTCATTGAATCAAATTCGGATATCCAAATATAACCAACTTACAGCACACTGATAGCAATTATATATTTTTACAAAAATAAACGCTTGCCTAAAGCCGATAACGATAGTACTACTTAAAGTCTCCAAGAATTTTAAACAGCTGCTCATACACTTGCAGAAAAACAACAATAAACAATATATCACTTTATCATTTTGATTTTTGTTTTAATATATTAATATATATTACATTTATTTCTGCTAATATACGTGAATCTTTGGTGTTGTAGTTTATATACGTAAACATATATATTGATATTAATATATATATATATATATATATATATATATATATATATATATATATATATATATATATATATATATATATATATGAATTTATACCATTGATGTTAATACATGTGAATATATGGTTATTGTATAGCTTGATAACATATCGATTCTTGTTTTATTTGTTTGTATATATTTTTGTCATACAATAATATTAAACAAAATCTAACGGGAATTTATGTCATTGACCCCTTTTCTTTCTTCTCATATATTAATTTATTGTAATTTTAAAACATAAAGTTCATTTATAACTGTTGATGCATATAACTTATATATCAATACAGATTTTAGGGCTGTATATAACTATTATGAAAAAATAAAAAAATCAATGTGTGGATCTCATTTATGATTAAGCGCTGGAGTACACCATGCAACGAACCTTTTCCAATTCGATTCGTAATTTTTTGATAACTTTTAAAAAAGAAGTCAAATTTGTTTAATTTTTTGAGTGGAATGGGTATTTGTTTTCTATCAGTTTATTTTGTTTGTTTTTTTTTTTTTTTTTTTTTTTAGATTGTTTTCGTCTACTATTAATTGAAATCAATTTTTATGATCAACTTTTAATAGCTGTTTAAAC